AATTTATAGTAAAATGTTGGAAGAGGTGATGAAGAATAAAGAAAACAAACCATTATGAATTTGTGGTTATTTTATTGAAAACTGTGACAGTGGATTATTTGAGCTGAAACCTTTTTTTCCCTGAATTAGTTCTACCAAATAGCCTCTTAACTATACTATGTTAAGATGAAATACAGTTAAATATTCAGACATTATAACACAAAACTGATGCAAACACAACAGGGAAGGATTTACTAAAAAGCTTTCATAACCCACAGACACAATCCCGAGATTCAGCTCCAAGTCTGTTCTGAATTCAGACGAGACTAACAGTGCGACTGCTGTATCCACAATGTAGTAATCCATATGTGAAAAACTATTTCAACATATTATATTCAGCCAAAACGGCCACTTCTGCACATTTCTGTGGCAGAAGGCCTAGTTGTTAACAGACTGCATTAACTCATTTTTTCAATCAGTCATTGTACAGCAGAGTGGGTAGTTTGTTACAACTTCCTAGCGAGCATTTCCAAAGTGTCATGGAAAGAAAACAGGACAAACATTTTTTTTTTTTCAATATAAAACAGTAAAAACTGGCCATAGGTCTGTTTTCATAATGAGCAGGTCCTACACAGTCAGGATTCACAGATAGAGAATATCTTTCAGTCCATGTGAAACTGGATTACTTTTATATTTCATGGAGAGAAAGTAAGGAAGAAGGTTAATTTCTGGTTTTTTTTAAAACAATTTCAAACAAAAGCTTTCCACGTCGTTCCTCAGGATGGTGATCCCACTCCTCTGTACTTCATAAATACATTCAGCACTCAGTTGATGCAGTTTTAAAAAAAGTTTCTATTGCATAAGGACATGATTAATCCTGCCTAAACACTGTCACTACATTAACAGACTATCACATGTGCACTTAAATTAAACATGTATCCATCACAGTTTTCTCCACACCTCTCTCTTATTCGACATCTTCGTGGACCTTCTTCTTCTTCTTCTTCCTCTTCCTCTTCCAGACTATGTCCAGGAACATTGGAAGGAGGATTCTTTTTTTGGCTACCAGTTTCTAAATGGTGTCAACCCCATGTTGATCCAACGTTGTTCAACCCTGCCTGATAACTTTCCTGTCACTGACGATAAGGTCTTCCTCTGTGGTCAGTGTAGCTTGAAAGATGAAATGAAGGTGATTGTCTTAACGTTGACTTATTTTAAAAGCCTTAAACATTTGGGGCTTTTGAGAAAACATTAGTGGCTGGAGACCAAGAAGCAACCTGTGGCATTTGATTTTGGAATTTCATGTTGTATTACATGTTCACTATATCCACCCTGTATGCATGTGAGTCAAATCAT